TGACCTTTCCTAATTTTTTTTTTCTTTTTTGAGACAAGGTCTCACTATGTAGTTCAGAAATCTTTGAGGCTGTCCTCGAACACGCAGTGATCCTCCTGCCTCAGCCTTCCTCAGCTGGGATTATGGACATGCACCAGCAGGCCCAGGTTTGTGACCTTTTCTATGAAGATGTGTTTGCATGTGTGTGTCTGGTGACTGAAGCAGATGTGGAAAGGGAGGGACTTAGCCTATGGGGCAGGGCTTAGTGTATGGGGTGGGGCATAAGGGCGGGACCTGGGGAGAAGAAGAATCACAGGGCAGGTCTCTGGGGAGAAAGAAGGGTGAGAGAGCTAGTTTTGCAGGAAAGTGAACAACTCTTCCATTTTAAATCGTTGTGTACCATTCTATAAATACAAAGCCCATATATTCTAATAGAAAATTTTCAACAATTAGTTCCTCACATGGGATATTTGTAGCTTGATAAATATCAATTCTATGAAGTGTCTTTCTACAGATGAAATGTAAAGTTCAGTTAAGTTGGTTTTTCCCCAAAAGTATTTTCTGCTTGACATTGTTATCTAAGGGAAGACAGTTCCCTACACGTTTTTTTTCTTTTGAGAAAGAGATTACATTTCTCTAAGCTTTAACCAGAGCTTCAGTATTGAGTAAATGACTGTATAGAGTGTTATTGGGTATTGGCCATAACACGACTCTGCTGCCAAATACTCTGGGTCGGTGCATTGAAAATATAGCCCTGTTGCTGAGTGCAGCTGTACAAGCCTGTTCTCCTGCATGCTGGGAGGCTGAGGCAGGATGATTGCAAGTTCCAGCCCTGCTTAGGCAACTTAGCAATTTAGTGAGATCCTGTCTTAAAAAAATATAAAAGAGCTGGGGTTGTAGCTCAGTTGAAGGCCTTGGGCTTAATCCCTAGTACCACAGAAAGAAAGAAAGAAAGAAAGAAAGAAAGAAAGAAAGAAAGAAAGAAAGAAAGAAAGTCAATGCTGGATTTTGTGCCTTAAAAACTGGCACCTGGGATCCAGATGGAGTGTTTTGATCATGCTCTTTTTAAAAAAATTGATTTTATTGGTACATTTTAGGTATACAATATAATGACATTCATCATTGGAGATTTGTACCTTTACATAATATATCTTGATTCTTATTTTTTCTCCATTCCCCTGCCCTCCCCTCAACCCCTCCACCCCTCTCTATTTGCAAAGACTTTGTTTCTATTTTTTCATTTTCTCATGTTAATTCCATTCCCTTCTTTCCTTTCCCCTACCTCTCCCACTTCCCCTTCCCCTTTGCACCTTTTCTTCCTATTTCACATTATCTATTATACATTTTGATCCTATTTACACTTTCAGTTTCTCAGACCAGAGAAACTATTCAATATTTACATGTGTCCTATTTATTTCACTTTAGAGTATCGCCTCAATGTGCATCCATTTAGCTATAAATGTCTGTAATTTCTCATTCTTTGTGGCTGAGTAGTACTCCACTTTGTTAAAAAACCCACATTTTCTTTATCCAGTCTCCATTTGATGGGCAACTGGGCTGTTTCCAGGTTTTAGCTATTACAAACTGCGCTGCTATGAACATGGGTGCACACATATCGCTGTGGTATGATTCTTTTAATTCTTTGGGGAAGATCCCCAGCAGTGGAATAGCTGGGTCAAATGGGACTTCCAGTCCTAGTTCTTTGAGGTATCTCCAAACTGATTTCCACAGTGGTTGCACCAGTCTGCACTCCCACCAACAATGGAGTAGGGTTCCTTGATCATGCTCTTTTGATGGGAAGGAAGATGGACACCTGGTCGTAAGAGGTACTGAAGAATATGCATAATTTCTTGCTGCTGGGGGTGACAGATGCAGCAGGAGCCTGACCCTGCCATGAAGTCATGAGTGCCCTGTGCCTGCTCTTCTTGGCTGTCTGGTTTTCTCTGGCCCTATAGGGCTCCATTTCCTAGGGGACTTTGTCTGCTGCGTCCTTCTTTCCACCCTAGGCATCCTCTCTGAAGCTCACAACCTCAAGCAAGGTTTCCAGAGTCATAGTCTGGAGAGCCTTGGCCTGATTGGTCAAGTTCAGCGTTAGGTCGTGTCCCAGGTCACTGAGCAGACTCCAGACCAGCTGTTCCTGGATCAGTTACCTCACCACGGCCCAGTTATCAGTGATCTGTGCTGGGGGCTGGGACTTCACTTGGTTGTAGGCTTCCTTGGTTGTCTAGGCAACAGGACCTGAGGGCAGGGCAATTTCCTTTAAAAGATGGCTGGGTAGGTGGTCAGCACTGACTGGTGTTTCCAGGGGAGCAGCTCTTCAATTCTGCTTGTTCTTCATGAAGGAAACTAGAAACTCCAAGTTGCTTTTGTAGTGAGATGGAATTGAGGTAGTTTCTGGGCAGTGGGCAATGAGGACATTGCTAATAAGGACAAATGGAGAATTTAGGCAATTACTGATATATCTGAGTCCTCAACTCTGCTGTTGGCTGGGGTATTGGACAAAGCACACACTTGAAATAAAAAGCCTTGATTTTTATTTTAGCCCAAATCACCCAGATCACAGCAAGATTTTGCTTGAATGACCCAGACAGATTGCATCAATTTTCTGCTTTACTTTACTTGTAGAAACCAGGCTACTCCTGGAATAGGAGACTGTATCAAAAAAAAAAAAAAAAAAAGGACAAGGTTGTAACCTGAAAAAAATGCTAGAATTTCATTGTTCTATGTTTCTTAATATGATACTATAAGGGAATTATATATTGGCCTTCTTTGTTTTTTTAAAGAAAGATGTAGTGAGTAGCATTATTTTGACGAAAAGTCAGGCTTTCTTTAAAATTTGGAAAAGACATGTGAGGGAGTCAGGCATCAAGGCATAATACTTGTCTTTGAATTATACTTATGAGATTTAATTGGTTCTGTGTTTTTTCAATTATGCTGCATTATATAGCTTCATTTAAATTTTTTTCTTCTTGCTTTTTCTTCACCAAGTCTGTCTAGTAGTAGTGAATATGGTTTAATTAGATGCTTTTCTTCAAAGGGGATATTTTTTTCTTTGTGAGAAAGCACACAGTATTTTACAACAATATTAATTCAAGTACATATTTTTGTGAATTTATCAGGATGATCAACTTCAAAATGGTTCATAATTACCTTTCTGTGTCAATCTGATGAAAATGTTCTCACCTGCTCACTGATGAAATCTTCACCGTCTTGCCAGGATGCATACTCGACCTGAGAATTCGCATAGTGAGACCCTGTGCATAACTCTGTGTGGGCTCAGATGCTGTGTGGGAGTGGAGGGCTTGAGTTGAAACATCCAAGTTTAAGCCCTGGCTCCACTGGTGTAGGTACTTATTCTTGTATCAAATGGTTTCCACATCCGTAAAATGGGTTCTTGGCAGTACTACCTCACTTGGTTGTTGTGAAAGTGTTTACTGTTGTGAAAAGTGTATTACTTTAATTCTTTTCCTCTTAAGAAAGCACATACTGGAATGCAAATGAATATCAGTAATAGTCTTTTAGGGATCACTTATTTAATTGACATTTTATATAATGCATTTATATTGTGTATTTTCTGATGAAAAGGATATAATCTAAAATCAGTTCAGAATCTATTGGATGTCCTACTTTGAGAACTGTTGTTCTAGGTCATTTTCTTCTGTGTTTTTGTGTGCACAATTGATTTAAATGGGTGGCTAAATGCTGTTTGAAGAGCATAATTTCCCCATTCTGGCAAATAAAATAATCATGGAATTTAATTAATTAAAATATTTTGTTTTCAAAATATTTAAACTGATTTTGACAAGTAATTTACCTTTCACCAGAAATCACAGTAAAATATTAATGAAATCTCTGAAATGCTTAGTATACATGATTATTCCTTGTATAAATGAATGTTTTTGAAATTTTATTTTGGTAAAATTGAAATCAAAGACTTCACATATTAACTAAAATGTACCCTGCTGTGCATATATATTCTGGAGAAGTTAATCTCAGGCACATTTGCATATTAAATGACTTTATGGGCCAAGTCATGAATATAGAGAAAATTGAAGACAGTTGAGATCATTTATTTCAAAACTATTGAAAGCATCAATTATGGGAGTGTTGGTCTCTTCCTTCCCAAGCTGATTCCGAGCTGTACCTCTTGCTGGATAGGCATCAGACTGCAGGGAGAAGCTGAAGAGTGCAGCAGCCAGAGAGGGGCTCCTCTTCCCAGTCCTCTCCTGCCTCCAGAAAGCCAGCCTTGTGCAGGCTTGTGGAGTCCAAAAACCTAATGCCTTTTAAAAATATGTATTTACTATACATAGTACATAAATCCCATAGCAGATTTTATGTTATTAAAATTTCAATATTGTTTAAAAATTTGGGAGTCTGGAGGGAATAGCTCTGTGGTAAAGCATTTGAGTAGCATGGCTGAGGCCCAGGGATCCATCCTTAGCACCGCCCCCCAATTATTTTTAAGCTAATTTTCTACTTTAGGATATTTATGTTTGTGTTGGGAAAATAAAATACACACACACACACACACACACACACACACACACACATCCCCTACACATACCAAACAAAAATACCCAAACAAAACCCCCATAGGCTTGTAAATGATTGCAGGAAATCCGACGTGGTTTATCATAAGCCAGAGGAAGGACTTCCTAGTCAGAGAAGCCAAACCTGTGCAGGTTACCAAGTCAAGATCCTAATAGTCAGTGACGAGAAGTGCAGTGCAGGTCCTTGAGTGGCTGCAAGAGACAGTTACAAAAATGCCTGTAGGTGTGTCCTCACCCCTGCTTTTAGCAGTAGCTAATTGCCGATGGACAAAATTTACGTGCCAAATGAAGGCTTTATTAATACTTTCTTTTCCCCAACTCAGCATGCCTGTCTAGACTTTGAACTTTATAAGGAGTACAGAGAAAATGAGCTGGATTACATAAAAGAATTTTGGGGGAGATTAACACATGACTTGCCCTTGTTAAACATCTATTTAACTGAAGTGCCATGAAAGTTTGAAGCAGGCCTAGCTGGAGCAAGGAAGGCCACCCCCTCCTCTACTATTTGAAGGAGATTTTCCAATCCCAGTCAAATGGTGGTGCTAGTTCTTTAGTTTTGAGCTTCTGCATTTCCTAATTTCATGGTCACAACAGCCTCGGAACAGCTTCTACCAAAACTGAAAATGCAGGCTCCATGCTCAGCAGCTCTCTGACGGGCAGCAAAGGTTCATGCCCCTTCTCCTGCCCTCTCTAGCACAAGAAGACAGTCTCTGAGGGACTTTCTTCTCCTCAAGTAGGTACTCCTCTATTTCTTCTTCTCAATTTCTTTTTTACTGTAATGTGCTACTGTATACAAGCAGGCTAGAACCTCAGAGCTTACCTTCCCTGCTGAAAGATGGTCATTTTTCTCTCACTGCTCCAGGGATATTTTGCAAAGTTGCTGCAAGTATGGTCACGATGTTAACACGCTCAATCTAAACTCGGTCCAGGGGAAATTCACTTTGGGAGCAATATTCAGCTGAGTCAGAGGGCAACAAGTCGACCCTGCTAGCACAGCCCTGACAGGCTGCCTCCCTGCCCCAGATAACGTATATTTACTGGATCCAGTTCCAGCCATCAGACACTGCAGGGCTGAAATGTGTTGGAATTTTAGAAGTTCATAATCGGACTGATCTTGAACTAGCTTGAACACTGCCTCTTTTCTTAATCTTTCGTTCCATAACTTATGGGAGTTTGAACTAAGCAATCTGAATGAGCCATTTTTTGTCTCCCGAGGGCAGACAAGTTTTCTGAAAAGCTATGCAATCTAGCAATCCAAGAATGAGACATCCTGTCTTGTCTTGAAATTTCTCATGATTTTAGGCAAATTCTTTTGATTCCTGCTGTCCTGGTTTTCTCTATCTGAAAAGCACTAGTGATGACTTTGCGGCATGATCATGTACACATGAAGGACTGTACCACGTATACAGGGGGCGATTCCTGCAGTGACGCGGTAGTCACAAAAGGCAGGGCTGGAGGATACTTTCATTTTGGCCAGAGGAATGCCGCCCATTTCAGGAAACATTCGTTAAGTTGTCAGTTTCATGCTTGCTCAAGAAGCTAAGGAGTGTTTGTTCTCTATGGCATGTCCACAGAAGGCAACATGATCAAAACAATTTTTAAGAAAGAGTTTACTTAATGTAAGGGTTGGGCTTAATTGGGAATTGTGATCATGGCACTGATTTCTATCCCAAGATGCCAGCTTTTGATGGATTTTAGGGTCAGATTGAATAGGCTTACAGAGCACCTTCAGGTATGAGGTTGCTGGGAAACTCATCTGATTTTGGATGTGAGATAGATAGATAGATAGATAGAACTTAGAAATACTAGGTAGAAGGTTTTTGAGCTAAATCTTAAAATGCACAGTCAAAAGAAATTCAGAAGGAGAGGAACTTCTGAGCTTTTGGGTTCAGTCTATTTCTATTTTAAAAAAGCAAATATTAGCTTCAGCTTTGTTAACATCTCATGAAGAATTCCACTAGGCCTTGGCACACAGGATATGATACCATCCATAGGGGTTGGATACAACACTGTGGAGGTTGTTAGATTTTCAAAGAAATTAGAAATAATAACATAGATATCAGAGAGACGGTATGCAAAAATGAGCAGATTTTTGAATATAAGTGCAAGGATTATATTTATTAGCAGGATGTTTTTCTTAGACATTGAGAGATATTTGTTTTGTTTTATTGCTCGTGACAGTCAAGGAAAGGAAAAAGCTCATGTGTCTTATACTTGGAGTGAGAGCAAAATCAAAGTTTCCTTTTATTTTAATGAATTGTACTGTGCATCTTCAATGAATTGTGTTGTGCAGCCTACGATTTGGAGAAAGCTATTCTCTACCTTCTCCTGAAACACTCACTCTAAGCCACCATGCAATAGAAACACACTAGGTAGGTGCCTGCTAAACATTCTTACATGGTTATCCTCCAGGATTGTCCCAGTATTTGTATTCAGTGAGCCCAGCACTCAGAACCACTGCCTGGGCTCAGGCCCTGTGTGTGAGCTGTAGTTTGCTCTGAATAGAGAACAACTCTGTTCTATGGTCACAGGTGAGCTACAAAGAAAACTGGGCAGGAGAGAGAGTGACCCACTCTGAGAAGTAAAACTCACAGCATTTGCTTCGTGGATGGCGATTGAAGTATCGTCCTGCCTGTCCACCTTTACCAGGGATCGTCTCTATCTTAATCCCTAAGAAAGAAACGCCAGCAGGGAAGGCCCTCCCTCCTTGCCCCAGGGTCTAAAAAAGTGCTATTTTAAAATGAAGGCCCTTAAAGGTGGCTTTTGCTGAAGCCCGTGATGATGATGGTGTGTCTGCCTTCAGGGCAGCATCCCAGTAGACTTCTTCCATGTGTGAGTTTCACGGTTCTTTCTACGGAGTATAACATTTTTCTCCCTGAAAGTCTGTGACTCTTTTAGAAGCTGAAGAGCCTTGTACCCCTAAAAATTTTTTTTTGCTATAAAGCTTATACCTCTTCTCAGGATTTTCACCACTGATGATTCTTTAGTGACGAGTCAGACACAAATCCATGGGAGACAACTAATTCCAGGCCTCAGCTCCCACCACTTCCTAGCTGTGCAATTCAGGCAAATTATTTTGCCTCTGATCTAGGATTTCTTGTCTGCAAAGTAGAGGTACCAACATAGCTATCAGATACAATTATATGGAATAAATGAGATTAAACCATTCATTAAACCTCTTGTAAATATTAAACAAATGCAAGTACATTAAGCAAGTGTTAGAAACTTTATATGAGAAGTTGTTTTCATTCCAAGCCTAGTATAATGCCTGGTGCTCAATAAATGATGGTTGAAAAGTGAATAGAATCCAAAGTCATCACTGTATCTGGAGCTGATGTCCATGTGACCGTACCTGGGGATTTTCCTTGAAACATAAAAAATGGTGAGTCCATCCAGCTGAGCAATCCACCTTCTGAGGTGCTAGTACTTTTGTAATAAGCACAGTATTGAAAGAGAAGACCTAGAAACTTTCAATGTCTTTCCTATTCTCCTTTGTGCCTGTAAGGGTTGTGTCATCCCTTTGTGCTGAGAAAGGTAGTAAGGAAGATCCTGCTGGGATGAGCATATCATAAACTTGTTACAAATGCTTCACATTTGTTTTTACACCAGAATAGTATTTTGAGGGATTGGAGAGTAGCTCAATGGGAAGGCATATGCTTAGCATTCATGAAACCCTGGGTGCAATCCTCAACACTGCCAAAAGAAAGGCATTTTTCTTTGTTGGGCAAAAAAAAAAAAAATCAGTCCACATACACATAGATTTATGTGTTAAATTTCTAACTCACTGTGACAGCACAGACCAGAGATAGCGTCTATCACTGGCCCCACATATGTGTAGTGCCCACGAGGTAGCAATAAACTGAAGCCACATTAGCACTTAATGTTTGGAGAACTCTTGTTTTGTGCGATGCTTTTTCTGGGTATTGTCACATTTAATCCTCACATCAACTACAGATCATAACTATGATTCTCATTGTACAGGTGATGAAACCAAGGTTTTGTAAAATGGGATGATGTGTTCCACATTATGCAGCTTCATAAATGACAGCCCTAGGCCTAGCAGATGAGCTTCTCTAATTCTCAAGTCCATGTCCTCAGCCATTACTTGCTAGAGTGTTGGTTCCCAAAGTTTCTAATCCATATGAACTTTGCCTTGGAGAAACAGGCTGAGCTCATGGGAAATACTACACCCTCTCTAACCCTCAGTATTTTTTTTTTGGTCCTGGGAATTGAACTCAGGACCTTGTGCTTCTGAGGTAAGTTTGGTGTCACTGAGCTAAATCTCTGACCCCCCTCAGCTCTTTATTTGCAAAATGTTAGTAACAATATATGACTTAAGGAAGCTTTGTGGCTATTGATTAGGATTAAATCAAGTAGTGTCTGTAAAGGAACTTTGTGAAAAAATTCACTTTTATCAAATGCAAATTGTCATATGAAATGCATAAATTATTGCTCAGCTACATGTAAACTCTTGTTACAAAGTGAGAGAGGGCAGCCTGGGTGTGTTGCTAGAAACCAGGTATGAGAAGTGAGTTGATTTCTGTTTCAGAAGAGCTGACGGTGTGCAGAGTGGTGGTAGTGCCAGTGGAGAAAGTCTTTGAACCCCACCATGTGACAAGCTTGCTTTTGAGTTCAGGGGTGGATGAGTGGGATTTTGGAAGGGAGATGGTAATCTTCTCCCTGGCACATCTTTGCAGCCTTAGGGGATGCTTTGTGATTTATCTGAAGAAGACAAGCTCCTAGGAGCTTGCTGGAGTCAAACCATGAAGGTTCTTATTGGTCATACAACTGGACCTTCATTGTCCTCACCACAGCCTTCAGCAGCTGAACTTGGCTTTAGCCTCTCATTGAAAGCTATCACCATCTCTCAATTCTTTGGTGTTTCCTGCAAAGAATGGATACAAGTGGGGCACAGTTTTCCAGCTGCCCTTTTCTTGGTGCCTCAATGACAATACCCAGGCCCTTTGTGGTTACTGCCAATCATAAGGAGGAAGAAGCAGGCCACAACAAAATGACAACAAGCCTGGGGAACTTTCCAAGTGTAAGTAGACTTGTTATGTCTTTGGTCCTTGTGGTTCCTGCTTTTCACTGGAGATAGCAGTGTGGCCCTGGCCTTTTGATATTTCTTGGTCTGCAGAGCTCATCAAGCCATTTTCTTGTTCAGTGGCCTGCAGTGAAGCTCCCTGGCTCCCCCAGGCTGGTTCAGAAGAACCCATCACAGACCTCCTACAAATGGGTGATCTGCATTTCTCGGGCACTTCCTCTTTCTGCTGTTTATAAACATCATCTCATTGGGATATTTCCTTTCAGAATTTTGATAAAGACACCAGGAAATCCACAAGAAATTTGTGTTTGTCTGACAGAAAGCAATTGTCTTTGACGCTACTTTTTATTACAATCATTCATCAAGATTCATTTTCTTAAAATTGTAGAAAGAGACTTAATAAAGATGATTGCATCATATGTAATAATTCATTTTAATTAATATCTTTTACATTATAGCTATGCTACAAATACAGATATAAATTTCTTTCTTTTTTGCTGTGTTTGAAAATCCTACCATGCATTGAATTTTACTAAGGATATTTAGGGATTAAGTTTACTTAATCAATTTATCCCATATCATTACATTCTTTTCCTAATTTCATTTAGGAAAGAGTGATAATTACAAACCCTGCTATATTCATTAAGCTCTGTCCTGGAGACTTTGTTCCCAACCAGACTGCACATTCT